GCAGGAAAAGCCTGCACGGAAATTGTACGCCCAGAATCGGAGGCAGCGTGTCTTGGTCTGTGGCTTCTCTGGTCTATTCGTCGCCAGCATCCAGCTAGCAAACGTCTTGGTGCTGGGCGCATGTACGTACGGACGGACAGTCGAGGCGGTAACAATGTCTCAAAAATGAACCTGTCCCTCTGAGCGGTGACTCCGAAACTGCTGTCCTGGACTGGACTGAACAGGGGGAGGGGCACAATGGGCGGCGCAAATCGGGGGGATAGATGATGCCAATCAGTCTAGCCAATGTCCGTCGTGCCAAAGCCAGTTGCAGTACGTCCAGACCGATGGTGTTGGTGGTGTTGCGTCGGCGGTGCGTCGGCCGTTGAGGAGAGATGGAAGATCAGAATGTCCAGACGGCTGTGCGGTACAGAGTAGAGGGTGGTGGTATCAACGAGCAGACGGGATGTCGATCGGTGTTGTGCAACCTTGACCCCCGGTGACCGGCGAGGTTTCTGGGATGAAGAGAAGAGAAGAGGCAACAACTCTCGCTGGATTTTTGGCTCAATTGGAGTGAAGAGCGGCGCAAAGAATAACGCCCCTCCAGAACCTGCTCTCCAAAAAGACTCAGAAACAGAGGTCGGTCCGCATGCAACGAGCGAGCTTCAGAGAGCCACTCTGGTACGTCTGGTGCGGCAACCCGGGCGGCAGCCGAATCAAAAACACAGGCACAGACACGTCGACAGCACCAATAATGGCGAAATGGAACGAAATGTGGAGCGAAGGCGTTTTGATTGTTTGTGAATTGGGAGCCACGGAGCCTAAAGTCGGTGATGTGTGCCTGTGTGTTATTGTTGTGTGTGCTTGTACATCAGCCAAATGCAGGGCCAGACGCAGCGGCGGCGTCTATGTACGGCGTCAAGGATAGCAATAGCATCGAGTTAAGTAGATAGGCGGCCGAAGATAGGAAGCGACCTGACGCAAGCTCGGGCAAGGTTGGGATGCAGGACTGAACGAGTACGATCATGTTCGGTCTGAATCTTGTCCACTATCAAACCGTCCCTCCTCCGATCTACCTTGCAGGACGTTGTGGTGTAGGTAGGTAGGTAGCATAGCATGCGTCTGTATCTACATCCCCCGTCGTCCTCGGGGAAACACATTGCTGGCAGGGACTGGCAAGTTGGAACGAAACATCGGCACAAAGAGTATGGCAGACCAAAGCTTCCGGGCCATGTTTCCGCAGCCGAGAGAGGTGAAGCTACACGGCGGCGTTGTGGCGTCGGGTGCCCAGTGCTCAAGCTTCCCAAGTTGGCAAGATGAGGGCGAATGCTCTGCCGCAAGAAGGCCAGAGGGAGGGCACGGAAGGCAAGCGACCTTCACCGGGTCGTGTTGAAGGAGCTGGAACTGACTGACGCCCTGTGCTTCCTGAACCGCCAGCGCCAGTGCCAAGTTCCAACGCCAGTCCTTGCCCTTGGGTCCTTGGGTAGGGTGGCAGGTTGATTTTTTTTTTTTTTTTTTTTTTTTTTTAACTTCTTTTTTTACTTTCTCAGGGTGGAAGTGATAAATGCCTGCCTGCCTGCATTACCTACCCTTCGTTGATCTGGGGTGTCCACTTGGCTGCGTACACCTTACCCAGGGCCCTTTTGATACGACGTCTTTTTTTCCTTCTCTTTGCGTACCTCTCTCTCATTGCCTGATCCTGTCCTCTGCATCTGCTGCTGCATTTACGGTCCACTTTGGTCATAGAACCCGAACAACGCACACAAATGGCCAGCTCAGTGTTCGAGCACAGTGGAAAGATCCAGTTTGAGAGGGGCGTGGGTTCGTGGGCAGAAAAAAAAAAAAACCGCGCTTCTTGAGAAGTTGCTGCGTACTGAGTGGGAGAGGGAGGCAGCTAAGGTAGGTACGTATCGTGCTAGACGGCGGAAGACTTACGCGAACGCACCGTGTGGCACCTGCGCCATGCGCCGCCAAGACAGATGGCAGTCTTCCTCCGAGCGCCCACTCGAGCGCCCGAACTTCGCTCAAGCCACTCTCTTTTGGTCCAATGGGCATTTTACTTGCTTGGCACAAAACTCGACCGGGGAGGGTCTGAATACAGTGCGACCTCAAATAGATACCTACCTTAAGGTATGGATAAGTTGATGAGTAACAAGACCACATCCGCCTCCCTTCCATCGTTGGGGTCTGGCTCGTCAGCTCCGACTGATAAGCAGCCGCATTGCGCAGCATGCAACGGGCAACGAGTAGCGCAACACCTGCTCCATTCAGGGCAGCTCTGAGATGCACGGCAGCCCAGGCCAGGGCATCTAAAACACACGCGTCGAATCCACGGGTACGGAGTCCTGGTAAATTGCGACATTACGCTACCGCAGGTGACTGAGATGACCGCCCTCGAGAACGACTCACTTTGCCCTCGTTTGCGCAGTATTTCTGCCAATCCGCTGGCCAATGTCGCACCCACTTCAGCCCAGAGAGGATCGCCCTCATTCCTCGGGGCCCCTCCCCCCATTCCACTTGCACTGTTTCATTCAATCCAAACGTCCAAGAACTCTTACGGCATGCCTGCCTGCCTGCCTAGGCGCCTCCCAAGGCCCTGATCAATCGGGTCCCACTGGGCTGACCGAGGTGTGGCCAACAGGACCTTTCTACCTACCCAACCTACCTTCCCTTATGGTGCAAGGTAGGTGTGGTAGGTTGGTGAGTAGGTGCGCATGGCCATGCACCAGCGTCGCAATCCCGCCACCGCCTTCCTTGCTCTGACTTGCCTCACCCCGGCGCTGACGAGCACTTGGCCAACAACCAACGTCAATCTTCCCTCATCTTGCAGCGCATTCTCTGCAAACCAACCAAGACAATCTTGAAAACTGGCCCCAACTCGCAACCGGACTCAACAACGGCGGCCGACTCCGACATGGAAAGAGTACGGATACGATCCTGTTCTTGTTCGTACGCAGACATTCATCGCCCGCCATCGTGGAAGCCATCGCCAGGTTCCCCCTTCTCTTGCTCCACCAAGAGAGACGCTTTGGGTTAGGTGGCGTGCTTATTCTAATAATGTACAGACGGCTTTTCGTTTCTCACACAATATTGACTGACGGCCGTTACTCCGTTGTTGACGAAAGCATCATCTTGACCTTTTCTTCTGGGCTCGAGTTACACCGAACCAACCACTGCCGCACAGAAACTAACTCTCGCACGGACTCTGTCATCCACCTCCGAACACACGGCCGGCCGTCTCAGCGCTTAGCTACCTCTTGCCGCTAAGCAAGCTTGAAGCCGACGGATAGTACACCGCGGGCAGTAGTGGTCGGTTCATGTTCTGGGTGCGTTCCCGGCGAACCTAATCATGGTACTTGCAAGCTAGTGTACCGTACAACTGCAAGGCCGGGTGCCTCAGACCTTAGTTGCTCTCACTATGCAGCAACTCCAAAGCACCTTCCTCAAGAACAGATGATGCGACCTTGCGGCGTCTCCTAAACTTAACTTCGGCCGGACCGTTCTACTACCCACGAAAGCTCCCTACTTACCCATTCTTCCAGAAACCACCCGATCTTCTTCACACGGTCCAAGACATTCTCTTCTCCCCCGACTCACGGCTCGGGAGTCATGCATCCCATTGGCTCTGCTATCTCTCTTATTTCCCCTTATACATAACACGCTGGGCTGATGCTACACCCAAGCCCGCAATAACCTGGCACGCATCTCTCTTGGTGGTCTGTTGCAGGCAACCGGCCCCGAATATCGCGGCAGACCGGCAGATGACGGGCTGAGCACGATATGAAAACGGATGCGGGCGACGTTGTGCATCTTGCATATCCGATGTCAACTCTTTCGGGATGCACTGATAGGCTCCCGCGGCGCTTCCTCCCAACGTCAGGAACCAGAACCCGGCGATTGAATGCAACCCTCTCCGCAGGATGGTGTCAAGCTGCACCACTACCGCAACCCACACACGACACCACCACCACCACCACCACCACCACCACTATCCTTCCTCTGTGCTGTCAGCAAGAAAATATTCAACAAAGCCGATCATGTTCCTTTCCGTGGCGGCCTTTCCTAGCTTCCTGCCCACGCCTCGCCTCGCCCGTCTGAGCGGTTTTCTTTACCGCAACGCCGCCGTCCCAGCCAACCTCCTCCTCATCCCCAATGATGCAACGCTTTAACCTGTCAGCCCCGACGTCGCTCCGAATCTCGCAAAAACCGACTTCAACACCACCCCAAATTGCAATCGGCCCCCCCTTCAGCCTTTTGCCGCTCTGTATCACCCGTCATAATCGTCCGCAACCTGCTGGCACAGAAGGATCTTTACTTCCACGCGCAAGAAGATGATTGAATTAGCACAGCCTGCATAAACTCATTATGTAAACCTTGCGCCTCTGAGAGTGCGGCGCATGAAAGTTGGCCTTCATCTGACCTAGAACGAAACCCAGAAAGAGTTATCAGCTGGACCCGATGGCGGCGATAACCCTAGTTCACTCGCCGTCCAGGATCAGCTATCGAAGGAACCGCCGATGAGCAAGCGTCAGTTGGCGTCGCACAGCAATCCGACCCCGGACGTCTCGCAAGTAGGTGGCAGTCCAATAGTAGCACACTGCAGAAAAGGGCGGCCCGAACCAATACCGACGGCAGATCAGAGGAAAGTGATGTCTAATTATTAAAAAGCAAGTATCTAAAGGCAGACGCACACACAATTTTGATTGAGTTCTAGACTCTCTGGGTTCAGAAGACAGGAATAGATCCAGCTCTGAACGCCATATGAGACCTTATTGACAGCGGGAAGCGGGAAGAGGGAAAGCCTCCAAGCCTCTGCCCGGGTGTTCCTTATAAACACGGACATCTCCGTGCATGGCTGGCTGGCTATCCAGCCAATCCACACGACCGTCATTAAACGGCGTCCGCATATTCAACTTACGCAAAACACTTGAATGTAGGAGTCTTCTTCACTGAACTGCTGCATGCTGCTGCAATATTGCTAGTTCGTATCACAGACTCTGCGGCTCCCGGGAAGATTCCTGTTACGCAGGCGCCTCGTCAGGGAACCGGATGGTGCGATTGGGAAGCTCAAGTGGCGGTGGCTGGTCGGCCACCCCCTCAGTCCGGACATCTCCGGCCTCGGGACCTGGACGGGGCGGATCATCGGCACGCTTCGGCGTGGACGTGCCTGAAGTAGGACCATCGGCCATCCTTCCGTGGATGATGGAACCTCCAATTCTGTAGACTGTCCGGCCGCCCTCGTCATCGGACGGGGTGCCGGACTCGGCATCCGCGACTCCATTGGATGCCATGGACCTGGACCGGCTGAACGGGAATGCAGCTCTGCCGCGGATGCGGAACGAACGCGGCTCATCACCGTCACTACTCATGAATGAGACACCTCGGGACAGCGTCCGGGGCGCGTAGTAGCCGAGCTTGCCGAGCGGGATGCTCAGCCCGTGGACCACCTATGTTTATATTATACCGGCTCCTCTCAGCGTGGACGTGGTAGCGGGTCACTTACTATACTGCAGACTGCCAGAAACCAGACGACGACTCGGACAACCTCACCCATGTTCTTGACGTCAGATCGGGGCTCTTCGCCCTCGTTGAGGGTGTGCAAGAACTCGAGGGTAACATAAAGGTAAAACACGGCAGACACTCCAATGGGGCCAAAGAAGCCAACAAAGATGGCCTGCTTTACCTCCTCGATCTGCGGGATGATCTTGTGGATCGCAAAAACGAATGGAAGCCGTCTGAGCATCAGTACCAGGATGCCCAGCGGGATGAGCCGGTAGATCGGGATAACTTCGTTGTGAAGGAACGAGTTCCACGGGATGACAGCCCCGTACCACAAGAAGACGGAGACATTCAGAAGCATGTCCAGGGTAGGCTGCAGTGAATCATCGACGGTGGCGAGACGGAACCAATCGTCCCAGGTGAAGGCGTTGCCGGCAATGAAGCATGCCAGCACATCATCGCTACCAATCATTCCACACGTGCCCACGATGAAGAGCGCCAGCGAGATCGCGAACACTAGGAAGCTCTCGCGGTCGACGTACTTGTGACTCTCTGCCCACCTGAGCAAGACTCTCGCCAACCAACCCACAGTGGCACCGTAAATGATGCTCAGAATGATGGTGTACCCCCACGTCTCCCCGAACCACAGCCCCATCGCGAGGCCAGCTCCTCCAGACTGCTGTTTGCCGCCGTCGCCAATGTACTTGATCAGATACAGCGCGAAGAACAAGAATGGATATCCCAGCCCGTCATTTGCTCCGCTTTCAGCAATGATCAAGTTTTGCAGCTCCTTGGGGATGTTGTGATCCGCAAATCGCCCCTTGACAATAACGTTAGACAACACAGGGTCTGTGGGCGTAACGCAGGCGCCGACGGCGAGCGCGTGCAGGAACGGCAGGTGCGGCACCAAGGCCCAGACAAGCAGGCTCGTCGCGAGCCACATGCAGGTCATGACGGGCCCGACGAGGAGGGCCATGGGCTTCCACTGGGTGCGGAGGTAGCGGCTGGGCAGCTGCACGCCGGCAAGGACGAGCTGCACGCCGAGGACGAGGCGAGAGAAGGCGAGGGTGACGCTATCGACGTTTTCCTCGGTGCCGGCGTATTCCAGCGGTCTGATGAGATTGGCGGCTGGGGGCGAGAAGGCTACGCCTACCAAGAGGGAAATCACTGCCGAGTCTTGTCAGCCACCTTGAATATCGTGGGGGAGATGTGCAGCCGAATGGCAAAACTTACGAGCTTCAGACAGGTAATAGTTCTCCTTGCAGAGGTACGACACAAGTCCAAACAGCGATATCCATCCTCCCAGCACACCGACAATGATGTTGAAGTTGGTAACCGCCAAAGTAGGCATCGCGCCTGTGGTTCGGTCGCAAAACTAGCCAACCAAGCTTTTGCCAAGATCCCTTTGCCCACAATTTACGTATAGCAGCCCAAGATGACCCCGCGATCTTCTGCGAGATGCTCCAATGAGAGTCGCGATCGGGCACTACTACGTAGCCAAGCAAACAGTGGACCGGGCCCTGCACCGGTCAATCTCGAATATGCAAACAAAATGGCGTGTGTTTTGTCTCCTTGCCCTGTTTAAAGGTAGTAGGTTGTTATCGAATCGCGTGGTTCAGAATGACGACGAGGAATGCGGCGCTTGCTGCGTGGCTGACTTTCATTGGGGTGCGTTCCGTCCTTCTTTCGTCCTCCCTTGCGTCCTCGTCGCTGCTGTTGCGGACCTCTTCGTCGTGTGAGGATCCTCGAGGGGACTGAGACAACCGAGGCGGTCTGTCAAATAGGCGGGCCTTGCTGGTGACGTCGGCCTTTTGATTGGGTCGCAGCGATCTATGGCGACTGCACAATGGTCCTTATCTGGACAGTAGATGCGGAATATTGATGCAGTGAGCCAGAATTGGCGGGGTCAGAAGTGTCAAGAAGTCTGGGCAGGTCTGCGACAGTGGCGGAGAGGAGAAAGAAGAGAAGAAGAAAGGGGACAGTGGCGTGGCGACAGGAAACGACTAGGTCGGCAGACGGGACGAACGCCGCAGGTTTTTTTTAAAGAAGGGTACGTGTGTGCGATCAGTGCATCATCACCGCCTTTTAATTGGGGGGGAATAGTAAGGGTCCCTTTGTTTACGTACCTGTAAACCGATTCTGCCCGCGCGCAAAGCTCTCGCTCTTCGGGGTCGACAGGCTTGACACGTGGGGCAGCAAAGCCGCCCGGTCAGAGGGATTTGCGCAAGGTTGTCTATGTTGTAGTCATCCGAAGGAACCTAGACGGTATCGGTTTGATGGCTGAGGTACATTCAGTTGCGGCTGTCTGGTTATTGTCTTTCTTTGTAGTCCCTGGCGCATTTAATGTATTTCTGTCTAACTTGAGCATGCAAAACGTTGGCCGTATCAGTCTTCGGCGAGCAAGTCTGGGCTGATGGGGAACCGTGAGACTGCGGCTGGATAGTCGGGAAAGATGCGGGCGAGATTCGGTTTGCGATATCCGTGAAAGTCTGAACCTGCAACGCCACTAGTCTGAATCGTGAGACATGTTCAGACAGACCGCTACATACTACAACCTACACTAGAGTTGTAAGGTTGATATGTCTGTTATTTTGAGGACTGTGCCTTAAACAGTTGAACATACTGCATAGACAATGGCCGCAGCACTTCAGTTGTCAGGAACAGAACCGCGTATAGCATCAAGAGGTTTCGTTGGTTACTGAGGGGATATCTCCATTGCAAAGAAAAGACTATCATTCCGCCAAAACGAAAGCACCAGATACTCCGTTTCCATCATCGATGAACTAGAAGAAACTTCCCGCAAACCCTTTGCCGCTATGATAGAAACAAGTCAAGCATCCTCCTGCCGTCTCCCTATCGTGTGCAGTACACAGCTCCTCCCTTCAGTAGAAACCCGAAGGCGTTAACTGCTCAAAGCGGAGGTTTGGGCTAGCCTTGAGATTGCGTGAAGGCAGGCCGCTAAACCTTTCAACGAGGGATCTAGACACCTAAACTCGTATCTGCCAAGAGCGGAAGATACGATGGTTTGGGAAGGGGTGCTTGCCTCCATGCATCGACCCAGGCAGAGCAACCCTTTTGCATCATGTCGGTCACCGACTCTGTCCATTGCCAGCGCATATTCATGACTATAACCCCTCAAGTGCAACCTAGGGTATGCTCGAGTAGTCGTCGAGATCGGGAGTTTCTTCCTTATCAAACTTGAGGTCCAGTTCGGGAGTTGGTTGTCTCTCCGTCTTCAACTTCTTCCGTGTTTTCGTCAGCTTAGCTTCCGGCGCTTCTGTATCTGCTTGCTGCTTTGCGTACTTCTGTACGCGCGTCGACGGTGGGTGGTAAGCACCTGCCACAGCAAGCGCCTTTACTGCTTCTTCCGCAACGCCCCTTGCGAGCTTATCCGCTTGTACATTTCCGTCGGTTACCGAATGTCCCTTGACCCAGGTGAACACAGTCCTTGTGCCTTTAGCTTCGCGTTCGGCAATTTTATTCATAATGGCCTGGACTAAGTCCTTGTTCGTGACGTCGTTATTTAGGACTGACGTCTTCCAGCCCTTTCCTTGCCAAATCGGAGCCCATTTCTGCACGCAGTTGATGGAGTATCTGCTGTCTGTGAGAATCTGCGCTCCCTGTGTGGCGGGAGTCTTCTCCAACGCACGTAGGACGCCAGTAAGTTCGGCGCGCTGATTTGTTTGCTTCTTGCCCTCAAGACGTTCAGAAACGTTTCTAGAAACAGGTCAGCGGTTCTGTGATTTGTGGCGTCGATTTGGAGCGTGCCAGTCTTCTGTTTGGTACGGGCTTCTGGAAAGTCGAGTCCATAGCGACTTACCTGGGATCGTTTTCTCCAAAGAACACGCCCACGCCTCCAGTCGCGTTGTCCGTGCCATTTCCGAGACAGCTGCCATCCGTGTAGATATGAGCCAGACCCGGCTCAAGGTCATCATGTTCCTCGACCTCGGATTCCAACTCAGAATCACCATCGACCAGGGCCTGAACCTTTTCGATTGTGTCTTCGTCACCCCACTCCTTTATGAATCGGACTGCCTCTCCGAGGGTATCGAATTTTTTGTACTTGGGCTTCGTGGACTGGTAGATCGCCTTGCTGGCTTTGTCCCAGTCGTGGAAGATGCCAGTGAAGTTACCGCGCGCAACAGCGTAGTACTTGATGGGTTCCGCCTTGCCGCCTCTGTTCGGAATCTTCTTTCCCGCCACGAACGCCTCCGCATCTTCCTTGGAGGTGAAGGACTTGTCTGTATCATAAGCTGTTGTTAGCCAATAGTCCCAAGCAGCTAGATGGCAGACCGACGGACGGTTCACTCACATACGGCTCCTCGTTGGTGATTGGTATTCTCTGAGCACTCATCCCACGTCTCGTACACGCCCGGTCGGAGACCAACCTTGACAGCGTACCACTTCTTCTCATCTTTGCGCTTTTTGGATTTCGTCGCATCGGCCATTGCAGATGCAGTCCTCTTGGCTGGCATGTCGTCGAGTAGGTTTCGCAGGATCGTGAAAAGTTTCTCCGGTTGCCCGTCCGTTTCGGCCCTTCTTTTCCACCAGCTCCCTGAGCTCAAGTCTCTTCTAATAACCCGGTTTGGTTGCGTCGCAGGCGGCACGAGTATTTTGAGAACTTGTCCGCAGAGGAGCAGTCGGTCAACGGTCTTTGCCGGGGAGGCTTGGAATCGCATTCAGTTGGTACGAGAGCTACCCATGTGCGAGTCGCGTGGGAGTGGAGGAGTCAAAGGCGGGTCATTGCATGCGCGTTTGTCGCGGAATGACACACTTGAGCGCTGCGAAATCAGAAATCGTTTCTCTACAACTCCCTTCGTCCGCGCGCATGCCGAGAATACTGAGCGCAACGGGAAAGAATGAGGAAGGCGGCAAAGGCCTGTGAGGAAGGACCACAGCGGCTGGCGTTGCGAAAAGAGAGTCGCACGACGCTTCACCGCGTGTCTATCACTGGGTTCGTACCGGCTGATAAGATAAGAATCCGCCTTTCCCCGCAGTAAAATCGCGGCACAGCACAGCAGCAGAGCTTAAGGTAAGGTAACATGCCTTAGCGCGGCTTGCCTTGCCGTCAGCCAAACGTCTGTTCGTCAATGGCGGCGGTCCATTTCGGCCGAACAATGGCGGCCGGCTGAATTGAATTCATCTCAACTTCACTCTTTGTAGACCTTGTTCAAACAAGAATAGGTGGAATAAGGAACATTGTTCATTGTTAGGCTGCTGCTTAATACACATGAGACAGCCCTGGGTATAATTCCTGCCCGTGCCTCCATCGACCTGCTCCTGAGGTTTCCTCCCAACGCCGCATTTCCGACTGGAGCTGAGAGGACTAACTAAACCCTCTGTTGGCCCTCCAAACCCATGTCTCAACCAACTACACCAGGGAAAACATGATACACAGAGGCTGTTAAAGAGCCGACGCAGAGGTCTGCGTACAGGTGATATTGATAATGGCGTGTCGAGATCGCCGAGAGCTTCCATCCTCTCTGATGGCCTCCTTCCACATAAAGACTGCTTAAGCCTAGGCCGGTTTCCCAGCCATAAGCACCAAGGTATTGTCGTCAAGTCCCATGGGGACTAAGCATGGACTCTGTGATCAACCGGCGGCAAAGGTCCCACACAGTCGCTCGACTCCCACTCCCACGCCAGCAAGCTCCAGTTCAGCTCACGTCTCCAAAAGAGACCGAGGCCCTCGCCACCACCGCAGCTCTCCAGCTCAGGGTGACCGTGGCCACGGTCCTCAGAGCACATGCCCCCGGTAAGCGGCATGCGCTGTGCGAAAACGACTTTGCCCATGCGCGAATGAAGGATAGCCATAGAGCACTGGACGCAAGGCTCATGGGTCAGGTACATCTCCATGCCGTGGCACAGGTAGCCGTCTGCGTTGGGGTGCTCGTCTTCGAAGACGATCTTCTCGTCGTCAAGAAGGGGCTTGTCTTGGAAAGCGTCGTACTCGAGGAAGGGAGAGTTGTTGGGCCGACCAGACACACGTCTCTCGTGACGAACAAGCTTCTGCGCAACCATGCTGATGGCTCTGAGAACGCAGTGTCCCATGGGATTGCCGGTACCGCGTCTGTTGGGTTCCTGGTGCCAACGAGCATCTCCCGCAATCGCCACAAGCTCGGACTTACCGCCCTCGCGCTGGACAATGACGGCTCCCATGGGCTCGCCGATACCCGTCTGCTTCGCTTTGATGGCAGCACGATGAGCGAGAGACATCCACAGAGATGTCTCATCTCTGATGGTGTCGGTAGAACGTCCCACCATGCTAGGATGGGGTCCAAGGGGGTTGTTCTTCCGGTACACTGTGGGCCAGAACTGCGAAGTCCACATGGCCGCTTGCACCTGCGAAGTGGGCGGGACGAGGGGAATGGGGATGCTGGTGAGGAAGAAGTTCTCCTCCATGCCGTCGATGGCAGTCAAGGATGCTACCAACTTCTGTCTGTCGAAGTCTTTCTCCTCGCCGAGCATGATGTAGATCCAGGTCGACTTCCCAGTGTGAACTTGACGACCCTCCGGGGAGTCGTTCATAAACTGCGTCTTGAGGTGAGCCGGGATATCGGCTGGCTTCGCGCATCGACGCAGGTGAGGCAAGCTGTTAGCTACACCCTCAGGAAGCATCGAGCGGAGAAGACTACAGCGGTGTTAATATCGACTCTCCATGTCATTGCAGGTAGCTTCAACTTACTTGACGACATCATTGGTAGACTTGGCTGGGGCTCTGGTAAGCAAAGCCTGGACGATGGTGTGGTCTTGTCGGATTTCCAGAGTTGTCTTCAAGGGGATGAGAACGCCACGGCCGAGTTGCTGCGGCAGAAGCTCGTCAATAAGGGGATGCGGCTGGATAACATCGGGTCCAGTGTGTTCAGGCTTCTCCTCGGACCGCAGCTCTGTGTTATCAGAGACAGCCTCTGGAAGCGTAGAGCGTTCGACTGCGAGCATTGTGACGGTGTTCTTTTTTGTACAATGTTGAGCTCGTAGCTGGAATGAGTGGAAGAGGGGAATCTTCGGTGTGTTAATAGACTGGGGAACTCAAGGCCTGAACCGTGACGGCTGATGCTCTGACTCACATTGACACGAGGCAAGGCCTGGCAGGTAAACTGAACGACCGACTGCGATGGTCAACGATGATTGACGCAACGAATCAGAACACCACCAAACCGGGCAGGAAACGTCGGTTTCGTAGAAGGACGAATATACTGGTTTTCCGTCTGCGAACTGGCAAAACGCTTGTCTTGAGAAAGCTGGTGACAAGGTTTGATGCCTGATTTGAGTTATGGTGATGGAACAAATCGCCAAAAAAGAGTCGAAGCCGGGGTTCCCTGGAGTCGGGAGATGTTGTGATTTCTGGTCGAGTGATCGGAGAAGTAGACGACGAACGACAAGAAAGGGCCCCAGAGGACGTGGACCGGTTCCTGCGCGTCGTTCCGTAGGTAGCAGCAGCACGATAAGTGACTCCTACCCTGAACAAACTGGGAACAGCTTCTTGCTACTGGGAATGTCACCATATGGCCTCTTCCCCGAGTGCTGAAGACTTCTCCGTTGGCTAAGGAGATGCCGAGGGCAGGTGCAGTTGGCTGGAGATACAGCAGGAAGGTGGCGTAGAAACGTCTTGTGTATCCTTCTAGAAATGGAAGTCACCCAGGCAGTCACGGGGTGAAAGCCAGCGAGAGGCACCAGTGAGGCAAGCACCACTATCGTGGAGGGCAGGACTGGACTTGTCCACAGTGTACGCCAGCAATGGAAGGCACTTGCACCCTCGATGAGCAATCCTGCTCCCGCCCGTTTCTGTTCCCTCACCCTCCTCTGTCCTCTTTGTCTTTCTGGTTTCTCTGAAAGCTGCCTTGAGCGTCTGACACACAAAGACAGGCAGAAATCTTGAGGCAAGCTAGACCTCGAAGTCCCTCTTTCGGTCTCTATGGCAGTCTCCAGACCAAAGCTCCGATTTGCTTGGATGGCTCAGGAGGTTGGTTTGAGAGTTGTTCAGAGATTCCGCCAAGATATCTGCGATGCAGTTATTCTTGGAATCAACGGTGAGCGGGTCTGATATCTCTCGGTGTCAGAGTCTCAGTCTCGGTCTCAGCCGCAGCGACAGCCTTCCATTTAGCTGGGCCAAGAGCGGATGTAACCAGGGACGTGAAGATCAACGTCGTCGTCAGCTGGGTTCCTGAAACGACGGGGGCCAAATCGGGACCAAACAAAGAAACAACAAAAGATTGAGGCCCTATCGGATCATCTGGCGTCTCTCATGAATGGACAATGCATCTGAAAGCCAAGAGCTTCTGGAAACGGTCCGAACAGTGGATAGTGTGGTGGGCGGCGCCGGGCACGGGAGACGGGAGTGAAGCATCAGAAAATTTGACTCCTTTGACGATCCAGCTTCCCGGCGCCGTACCATGTCCAGGCACGACCCTGCATCAAATCGTAGCGCAGAGCAGAGCCTCTAGCGGATCCCCATCCCCCGGTGCCACCCCTCTTATCGATAAGGCGTCTAGCGGTTCGCTAAAGCATCTCGGTGCGAACGCTCACCTCGTAGTGGGGCATTTCGCTCCTGTAACTGCACCTGGACAGACCTGTTGCACGTTGCAAGTGTTTCTTTCTGTTTTTGGACTTCCTTCGCGCCCGGGTTGCGCTGGAGATTCTTTTCTCAAGATACCGGGCTTCGGCCAGGGGCTCGTACTTCCCCGTGTGGGATTGCGAGTATCCATGGATAGGAGACACTTCGGCGCCAAAGACCCGCCGGCTGAGATGGGGGAAGTGGAAGGGAAAAGAGGCGGAGGCTGGGGACGGTTCGCATCGCTGTCGCTGTCGTTGTCGCTGAAACTGACTTAGCCCATCGAGATGATGGACAAAATAACAACACCAAGCCAAGACACACCAAACCTCACCAAAAATACACTCCAACCGGTCCTTGCACTGAGCTCTAGCTATCGGAGGCCTTTGCATTCCCGGGCTTCAATGGTTGAGCTCCAGGCCTTCCAACAAGCGCAGGAGCTATTCCCATTCTTCCCGTCATCGCTGTTTGCCGTTCCCATAGTGTCTCACAACATCTTCAAGCAGAACCTGTCACGCTGTTCCTCAAGTGTCTCATTGGTTATCCAACATTCGGCGCAAAGTCTCGCAAGCGAGACAAACTCTTGTTTTCTCCGGAGACACCGCGCCGCGGGCAGCTTAGAAATGCAATCGTCCAACGGCAAATCAACCCCACGTGTGGCAGCCCCATCGTCTTGAGTTAAGGTAGCCCTCAATCTCCGATGACGGCACGCCATGCGGCGAAATTGCACATGTCCCCCCGCCGGCATCGACCGCATCTTATTGCTAATTCACGCTTGTCTTCGACACGCACCAGTCTGCACCGACTATCGGCAACTTCCCCTCGCGAATTCCCCAGGAGACTCGACGGGGGGCGACGCCGTCGCATCTGCAGATCCAGCAGGCGCTCCAACTGCATAGTAGATTCTTGGAGAATCCAGCCACTCTGGTTGGTCCCCTGTCCAAGAGCAGATCGTGGGATTTTCAGCAAGCGACGGCACGGCCTGCCGTGGACCCCTCATGATGAACGCGGAGTCAGCGGCAGAAAGGGAATAGCCTGCTTGCACACAACAACGCCTGCAGCTGCTCGATTTGAGGACGAGGAGGGGCAGCAAACCGCGCGGCGGCACCCGTCAGCATGGCAGGAAAAAAGTGCTAATGAGGCCCGCGCCGCCGGCGCCTGAAGCAATTAATCAATCAAACGAATCTTTGCTCCCCACAATCTGACATTGAGGACTTTGGAAGGGAAGCTCCGATGTCTTTTCTGCAGTCTGCATCCTGCAGTGTAACAGCGCCACAGCCTTCGCAACGAGCCTGGAGTGGGGGTTCTGCGCCAAATTTCTCCCCTTCGTCATCCATGCCCAGACCTTGTTCTGAACGGAAGCATGAAGGAAGACATGGAGACAGCCTGGCAGCTTTGCGACTTGAGAGGTGATTGGCTCTGCCAATGACATGGTGCAACCAGGCAGTGAGAAATGGTGGTGTTGGACGCAAGCCTCGCTCGTCTCGAGGCCGATGACATGGCGTTCCCATACTTTGGCGGGACATGCGGATTGATATCCTGCCGTTTCTGCATGCTGTGCAAGCGGGCTCGGCACGGTGTTTCGTTGTGGTTGAGGGCGGCCATGCGCCAGGGAAGTCCTTTTCTGACATCACCGCCCAGAACAAGGGAGAAGGATTGGCAACCTCGCAGTGACGAGACGTCAAACAGAAGGCTGGCGTTCATCGATCGACAGTTGACAATTGACAATGACAGACAGCTTCCTGGAGTCTCCAGAACTCCCACCCCACATCAAGTCGAGAACGGCCAGGGATTCGATGAGGGGTTCGCGCCCACGGTTCACCGAGACGCAGCGGAGCCATGCTTTGGAGCGGATCTCCGGGGCGTGGAGGTTTCTCATGCCAGCCTCCGGACTTCGGGGTGGTTCCGAGGTCAGCCCAAGCGCTAGCTGAGTTGTCGCAACGCCAACAGAATATGTAATGGAATATTATCGACACGCGACCGCAGCGACCGCAGGAGGTGGTGTGTCAAACTATGCTGTGTATCCCATCCTCCTTGTGTGTGCGACTTTGTTGAGAGGGCTGTCGGAGACATGTTGCAGCACCGCAGAAAGCCAGATGACAGGACCAGGTGTTGATCAAGCATTAGTTTTCTCGCCAACCAGAGCTAACCAAGTCAGATAACCGTCAAAGTATGCGAAGGGGAGGGAGGGCGGCACAGCGTAGCCGGTAGCCGTAGCCTAAGGTAAGGATAAGCTTTGGGGCGGGCTCGAAGGCGTGTTGACGAGGCTCAACGTGAGTGGTCTCTTCTTTCTTCTTGGCTGATGGCTGGAATGCTTGAGAAGTTGAGATGGTTCATAGAATTAGCCATCGGTGCCGGCACCAGTTGATTCAGGAGGCAGACTTGGCGGGCTGGTACATGAAGACCTGAGTCGTGAAACATTTGAGTGGGAAGGGAAGTGGGAAGCGCAGCAGAGGCAAGATGGATCTACGGGGTATCTCCGACATGCCCGGTGAGTAAGGCAAGGCCACCTCACCCAGCACCGAGAGATGATGGGCGAGAAGTGAGCATTGAACGCCTCGATAAGCCAAGACGGCACTTCAGTCGTTCTGCAGCTATTTCCAGGTTTGCAGGCTGGTGTGGCAGGAGCATGTACCTGGGGAAACACAACACAGACGCGAGGGATGGACACGACGGGACCCGGGCAAGGCACCGCACAGCACAGAGCCTGACCCAGGCATACGGGGAGAGGCAGAGGATGGGGCCGGCCGTCAAAGATGATGTTTGGGCTTATTTTGGACGACGGGAAGGAGAGAGGAGGGTGATTGTTGAGGTTTCCGTCGGGCATGGTGCACGGAGGATGGGTGGCTTCACTGGCTGACATCCATGACATGGCTAGACGGTGGACGTTAGGACTGTGGACAAGGCGAGGAGGGCTTGGACAAAGACATGGACATGGGGGGAGGAGGGCGTGGATGAACTGGCTCCAGGCATTGGCCAAGACCCCAGAGATGGACAAAACACCAAACAGCAACGACTATCAGGGCCAAATGCGGTAGAATAAGGTACGCAGTATAAAAAAAAAAAAAAAGTAAATGTTATTGATTTTACAGCGGCCCTTCTATCTGGGTTGTTTGTTAAGCACCAGCATCAGATCGACCCAGCCTGAGGCAGGGCCTGACAGGTGTTGGGGGCCGGAATTACACCCATAATTACCATTTACCGTGCCAGCGGCTCACTGAAGGGGATGGATGAGATGAGATGCCCAGCTCGACGGTGTTACAGCTTCACATCAGCTCGGCCGTACCCAGACGATCTCATCTCTGAGTCACATCTTGCTGCATGGCGTCTACGTAGTCGCGGAAGATGGACCTTGGCATCCGCTGGACAACCACCTGCCGGCCAGTGA